GCTCTTCCGAATCTGAGGACAGGTGTAACGTGGGCGAACCGTGGTGCGCCCACTATCACTCGCGCGGCTGCATTTTGGACTAACTAGGAACCCATCTCTGCTCGTGAGAATGAATTCTTTCCTCCACACTCTTTGTCTCTTTTAAGTGATGTGCTGTATATTTCATTTCTGCTCCCTTTTTCCTCCCTTCCCCCACGTTTAGAAAATAGGATAAGGAGAGGCTGACAGGTGATGTATATATTTGCACATGGCAGTCCATTTCAATTTCAAAGCATATATGGTCACCTATTCTCCCATTGGGTAGTGGGAGGGATTAGCATGTCTGAAATATCTTTCTCTAAGAAAAGTCTAGTCTCTTACAATGGTTTTCTTCTGCTGATTCACATTGTTTTAAAATTCCAAACAGGAGACTGTTTAATTCCACAACACAGACACATACACACACACACACTTTACAGTTTATGCTTCACATACCTAATATATTTTAGCATAGTTTTTCCCCCCATACTACTTAGAATGTTGACATAGCTTAAATTAATGAGGCAAAGCAGAGTATTGAAATATAATTACGCATTGAAAACTACAGGAAAGCAGATTGTTGGAAAGTTTTGATCACATTACTTTTAATTATGCACTGTATTGATCTGACCTATTTGAACAGGATCCAGAGCTGGTACGCAACATCTGTCGTTGGGTGAGGCAAGCTGTTCAGATTCCTTTCTTTGCCAAGCTGACGCCAAATGTCACAAACATTGTGAACATTGCGAGGGCTGCCCAAGAAGGTAACAAATTCAGACATATCCGCATTTCGCTCTTTCTTAAAATTTGCAACTTGATCGATATAAAAGTAAAATGCTATTTTGAGAAGTAGAGAACATAAGAAGACTTACCATTTCTCTTTTTCTTCCCCCCCTCAACCCCCCACCCCGGATTTCCTGAGCATAAAAAATAATATGGAAAACATGGGTGAAACTACAAACTGAATGATACATTCACTTTAGTGCAGAAGTCTTCAAACTTGGCAACTTTAAGACTTGTGGACTTCATCTCCCAGAATTCTCCAGCCAGCTCTGCTTCTCCCAGAGAATTCTCCCAGAGAATTCTGGGAGTTGAAGTACACAAGTCTTAAAGTTGCCAAGTATGAAGACCTCTGCCTTACTCCTTCATCTACTAATTATGCTTTTTCTTCCTTTCAGTGTAAAAAAAAAAGATTTTGGAAGGTTTTGAGGAGGTTCTCCAAAAGTCCTCAAAAAGCTCAATTTGTGTACAGACCCAACAGGGTCACTTCCTTTATATTTGCCCTGGTCAATCATGTTACTCCTTAGTGTAGCAATAGCATTTTAGGCTTATATACCACCCCATAGGGATTTACAGCACTCTCTGGGCAGTTTACAACCTAAGCATTATTTGCATATTGCCCCCAACAATTTTACTGATTTCAGAAGGATGGAAGACTGAGTCAATCTTGAGACCCAATCTTGAGACCCGTCGGGATCGAACTCTGGTGTGGGCAGAGTTGGCCTGCAATAATGCTTTCTATAGCTCCTTGTTTGTCCCAAAGTGTACATTGGCAAGCAAATAAATGGTCTGGATAGCTTGGTCTTCCTTGCTTCTTTCAAGCTTTCCATTTTCTCTTTTGGAGGCACAGTATGTGGGCAGGTAACCCAAATGTATTCAGGGACTCGTGATAGTGATCTGTAAGGTGAGATAAGGGTCTTGGCAAGTATCCAGTTCTTCTAATTTTTACTACCACTTGCCCGTTTTATCATTGCAGCTGCTGTTATTTATAATGCTGGCATTTTATATCAATAGGGTTTAATTTAATTTATTACTTCCTACAGCTGCCTATTGCAGAAGACTCTGGGTGCAGTAGCGCCCTCAAAGCAGTAAAAATTATTAAAACAATTAAAACCTTCACTAATAGGCAACTTGGATTAAAACAGTTAGAACAATAAACCATACAACAGAACAACAGGGGGTCCACCTATGCATAACAACCACAATTAACCCCAGACCTGGAAACAGAACTAGATCTTAAAGGCTTTGCAGGATCCCTGGAGAATTGGTGCCATATGAGATGCCATTCCAGAGGACAAGGGGCCATGATAGAGAAAACACAATCTTCAGTCCCACAAGATGGCAACACTGAATTGTTTTTCAAACTGGTCCATGGAACTCTAGGGTTTCTTAAGAACTTAATGGAACTAAAGGATATGTAAGATTAANTCTGTGCTGCTTTGCTGCCAAGGACCTGTCTGTCTGTTAATTAAATGCCATAACTTATCTTTGGCTCGGAGTGTGTGTTGGTGTGGGACGAGGGGAGTCAGAACAGTTGTCACACAGCCAGATGTTCAGATGAAATTTGGCATTTTTGTCCATTTATCAAGGCCTTCCCAAGGACCTAGGATAGGCATATAGAGATGTTTGGTAGTTAAAAATATCATTGCAGGATGTAAGCTGTTCCGAGCAAAGCTGCCTTTTGCAATTGACAGGTGGTGATCAATTCTGATGGTGCTTAAGTGATGCTCCAGTTGTTTTGGGATTGCTCCCAAGGCATCTATCACTATAGGTTCTTTGCTTTGTTTTGCCACAGTCATTCTATTTCTATTTGCAGGTCTTTGTATTTTGTTATCTTCTCCAATTCTTCCTCTTGGAAGAAAAGCTATAAAACCTGTAAATGTAGAGCATGGTTGACACACTTCCCTATTTCTTATCTTTATAAAAACACCAACTATATGATTGGCCCATCTACACACGCAGTCAGTTTTCAATATTTTAGACATATGTCTTCTCTAAGTATATGATTTCAAATTTCTTGTATTACTTTGTACCTATGTAGACCTAAATAAAACCTCCCTATATGAATCACCAACTTAAAAAGCTGTCCAAAAATTGGATAACCCTGACAGTTTCATCTGTGTTCACCAATATTTATTCCAGAAGTGAATCTTATTAAAATTTTCTATTCCATTGGATTATCACAATCAACCTACTCTGAGGATCTCTTTCTGTTTCATTGAATTGTTATCTGTCTCACCCTGACCCTGATTAGAGAGGAGACAACATAAAGGCTTTAAGTGGGAGATATTGATACAAAACTGAAAACAGGGCATAGCAAAAGCACAATGAGAAGGGGTTAGACTTGAAAACAGATGCCATTACATTTAGTTGGAAGGATGAAAAGTTGACAAGGGAATTGAAAGGATGGAGGAGAGAAGAGGAACAGAAGAAAAACAAAGGAAGGAATAAGAGACCCAGCTCCCTGTGGACGGACCGGAAAGTAAACTGGGAGTATGAGAATGTACTCTATGAAGCAAGGTCAATTAGGAGAAATATGGTCTATAACTTAAGGGTAGAGTGGATAAGAATAGGACCTCCTCACACTGTTAGTTGGTTTAATTTATACTACACATTACACCAATACTATTAGACCTAACTGCTTGCAAGGGATTAAAAAAATGCTTGGGCTCCATTGGGGAAAATTTGCTAGCTCTTCACTGTCCCAATTAGATCCTGGTATTCACACATCTGTAGAAAAGAGACTCTATAGTGAGTTGATTGAAAATAGAAATGACGCCTTTAGCATTTTTAAAAATTAATAACCATTAATCTAAATTACAGATCTTAACAGCCAACAATAATATTTTGCCTGTGATCTTTCTTAGAGGCTGGAGGTAGTTTCCTTGCTTAATCATAAGGGTCATTTGTAGGGGGAAGGAAGTGTTGCATCAATCCCTTTGTCTTCACTTTGTCAACTATAAAAATTCTCCAGGCCGTTTCATTCATTACATATAAGACCATGTGATTATTAGCACTTACAGCTAATCCTGGCCCTGTGAAAAACGTACATCAGGATTTACACTGAAGGTTTCAAATTCTCTGGGAATGTTGAAAATCATATTAACACCATGATGATGATACTTTTTTTTTAATAGCTAGGAAGCTTTGTCATCTAATTAGTACTATACCATGTAACCATTTCTGTAACTCGCTGTGCTCACGTGCTTATTAAAAATATCACTAAATTTCTTGTAGGCAATGCAGATGGTGTCACAGCCACCAATACTGTGTCTGGGTTGATGGGACTGAAGGCAGGTGGCATACCTTGGCCTTCTGTAGGGCGCAGCAAAAAGACCACCTACGGCGGAGTATCAGGTAAGTATTGGTCCTTTCTTATTAAAAGTCCCTTCTTTGCGTCCTGGGAATCGGCAAGAGATGCCGTTACTATAACTGCATTATTTTGCCTATGGTATTTGTAAGGTTTGTTGCTGGTCAGTGTTTGCTAATCATCATGACAGATGGAACAGATTGACGGTGAGGGCTCATGGGCTGCCCTTTCCTGAATGGTGAAACCCTGCAACCCAATATTATTGATAGGGTCAATCCTGAGTAATGGAGGAAGTCGCTTTTTTCTTACAACCCACATTTTTCCTGGGATTTTTCATTCTGTCATAGTTGTCAGGGCGCATGTTAGACAGGGGCTAATCAAAGGGCACTGGGAGAAGACCAACATAAACATTCCCAAACGGGTAGTTTGGCAGGATTTTTTAATAGGGGGCAGTCCCTACTTTAATCTGCCTTCTTAAGGGAAAGGAGAGGAGGAAGGAAGGAAGGANTCATGAACTTTTAACTGGGTGGGATTCTGATGTAACTTCCAGAGTTGGAATCCCCACAGCTATGTGCCAACATGCCTGTTTTATTAAATTGGAACTTTAAGCATAGTTTTGCCTTCGACTCTGATTTAATTCTACATGGTATTTGGAACGCTGACAATTATTTCAGTTTACATTTAATTCTAGAATTTATAATTCTGTTTCATGTGTATCTATGATCTCAGTACAAACTTTCTGAAATGTATCAAACTAGGTCTATGTAAATAAGACAAAAAAAACACCTTATATAAATTGGAAAATAATCTGCTTCAATTTTATGATTTGAATTTATGTAGAAAATTTATGCCACTCAACCATTCAGACTGGCCAATCAGATCCAGTCCACAGTATTTCCACAACCATGTTAGAACTATTAGAATACATATTGACATTTTTACTCGTGCAATACACTTTTTGTACTTTTTAAACTTTGTTCTCCTCTAAAAACCAAGTTCTCTGGCACTCTTTTTAATTTAGTAGTAAAACTAAAAAGGAATTTGAGACAGTATTTAATTTCTAAAAAGAGAATTGCCAGGGGATGGGGAACTGGACAATTGCCATCTCTTCTATTAATTTTTCCTTTTCATATTAGGCCGTGCATGTGTGAGAGAAAAAAAATAATAATGTGGTGGTAAGGCACCACTTACTCATTGAAAAAAAGAAGTTATTTTACTATATTGTTGGCAAAATAATTTGCAGTTGCAGGAGTCAACAGGACACCGAGAAAAATAGATTTCTCTCAGAATTATACTAGCATGTTTGGTGACTAGTGGTCCAGCTCTCAGTCCTAGAACCTGTGTTCTGGAGAAGCAGACGTTTACCTTGTATTTGTTTGCAATTTATTAACATTATTTGGGGCTTCATTGAGTTCGGACATCCTAATATAAGCCACCTTATAGAAGAGACATGGTGGCTCAGTGGCTAAGAAGCTGAGCTTGTCAATCAGAAAGGTCGGCAGTTGAGAATCCCTAGTGCCACATAATGGAGTGAGCTCCCGTTACTTGTCCCAGCTTCTGCCGACCTAGCAGTTCGAAAGCATATAAAAATACAAGTAGAAAAATAGAAACCACTTTGGTGGGAAGGTAACAGCGTTCCATGTGCCTTCGGCATTTAGTCATGCCGACCACATGACCACGGAGTCGTCTTCGCAAAATGCTGGTTCTTCGGTTTTGAAACTGAGATGAGCACCGCCCTGTAGAGTCAGGAACAACTAACACTTATGTACGAGGGAACTTTTACCTTTATAGAAGAAAAATGTAGCTCAGGGTTCATTCAAGTATGGAATTCTCTAAGCTCAGAGAACACCAAGTATTCTGTAAACTATCCTTTCCCCAGGTAGGTTAAATCTACTAATCCCTTGTCTATATTTCCTGTTATTTTCCTGCTTTATTTTTTAGTTTGGTTAGAACACGTTTTTATTTTATTTTGGGGTTTTTGAGAACTTCTTTTACATATAAATATCGAATAATAAAATAGATATTGAAGATTTTAATATAGTTTATCAGTGGTTGTCAGACGACTTGACAGCCTCATTACCAAATTATAAAATAAAATAAAACGCATGTAATTAGTACTCCAGAGCCATTATCGACTGAAAGGCATCTGATTATCCTCTGAAGGCTGTCCCAGAAAGGTAGGGCTTCAAGATTTCTATTTCTGTCTTTAAAGAGTATAAGTTGATCTCTTTTTTTCCCATTTAGCTTTTTGTCATCCTGAACTTTTCATCCAAGGAAATGAGTATTCAGAAAAGCTTTGACCCTGTCAAAATAATTGCTGTGAGGTTATTTTGTGGACAGGTGGGTGGAAGAGTAGTTAAATATCACCCTGCCAGCTAATTTAGGAAAAGGTTAATGTATATATCTCCGAACTTCCGATTTATATCAGGGCAGGAGTTTTGTGTTTTTTTTTTTTTTTAAATCTTCCATGAAATGACTTGTGAATCAATTTTTGGGGATATTTTTTTTTAAATCACACAATTGACACTCTTATGCTGGACAGTTCTGTAATACACAAAGCTAGCTAAAGGACTGAAGGAATCCCAAGCAAGATGCTCTTCAGGGACCATGTCTATTTTGGGGGAAATCCCGATCATTCTGAGCTTAATTTCACAATTTATAGCACTGGGGGGGGGAATTAAAATGGCAATTGATGGCTGATCACAATTGATGTGAAGACCCTAGCGGTGATCAGAGATCAAGGTACTGATGCCAAGCCAATAACAAAGTGTTCTGCTACCAAAAAAAAAATCTGCATTAAAGCATTCCCTAATTCAGTGTTTCTCAACCTTGGCGACCTGTGGACTTAGCTGGCTGGGGAATTCTGGGAGTTGAAGTCCACAGGACTTAAAGTCGCCAAGGTTGAGAAACACTGCCCTAATTTATAAAGTACATGTAACGAGAAAAACAAGGAAGAAAATAAGTTTAATATTACTCAGAATTAGCCTTTAACCCTGGAGTTATGTCCTGGAGCGGGCCAAATATTAACCAAGCCCAAACTACTCAGTAGCCCAAACAAAGAAAGCCATCTTCTACCACCTTCAGAAAATATATAAGTAATTCATTGTAATATTTTATGTAAAGCAGCAAAAGCTTAAACAAAAACAACTGAATGCAGTTATGTTAATCAAGTTTTTATTACAGCATTATGACAAAATAAAATCTATTTCCAAGATTGGATCCAAGTGCCAAGTGTTTCAGTGCAGTTGTGATCAGCATGCTATCTATTGAACTGGGCCTACTGAATTTTGCCAATTTTCAAGAGATCATGGCATTGGAGTCGATCCAAATGTCTTCAGCATAGTTATTTTAGGTTGTAGAAATGGATACTCGTGAGCAGTGGTGGGTTTCAAAATCTTTGGAACCTACTCTGTGGGTGTGGCCTCCTTTGTGGGAGTGGCTTGCCAGCCATGTGACCTGGTGGGAGTGGCTTGCCGGCCATGTGTTTTCTTTCTTTCTCTCTTTCCTTCCTTTCCCGTTTCTGTTCCCTTTTTCTTTTTTTCTTTCATCTCTCTCACTCTTTTTCTTTCTTTTTTCTTTTTTTATTTATTTACTTCTTCCTTTATTTCTCTTTGTGTCAGTCNTTTCAATGGCAGCCGAAAAGCAGCAGCAAAGCAGAGGCTGACAGTTGTAAATTTTCCTTCTTTTGGATTATTTTTCTTTTCTAATTTGTTAACCTCTTTAAATATTTGCCTGAGTAAGAGTATAAATCAAATAAACTGATCTGTAGGAACCACATTCTAGCAACTTTGTTCTTCCATTTCCGGTGATAACAGATGTTTTGCATAAAAGTATGTAAACCATGGATCAGTACCAGCTAAATCCTGGTTCCTGAGACTTACGTACTTTCTTCCTCTTGGAAGCATAGATAGGGTAGCTTACATTGTTTACCCAAATGATTTATATTTCAAGCTCTGTCAGAGCTAAGAGCTATTTAGTCTGGCCAAGGTATCCATGATGCCTGAACATTGTCCAAACTAAACAGAGCTTCATTTTAATTTTGCATCAGCCACTTGTATTTCACTTATTCTATGATGTTATTTGCTCTTCCACCGAGTATGAACGGGATGCCTCCTTCATGTAACCTACATTAGCAAAACCTGTCTCAGTCATGAAAATGTTGGCCGAACATTTCCATTCACATGCACGCGTGCCCACACATAGACTGTATTGACTATTTGGAAAACATTTAATGAACGATTATTTTGAAAGTCCCTTGATCCAGAGCGGACACACATATACGTAGAGACATTTTGAATTTTGACATCTAAGTTGCTGATGTATAAAACTTGGAGATTTGAAATTTCTTTTCCCTCCCACACTTAGTATGTTGGTCTTTCAAATTGATAAGAACTTCTGGAAGGGTGTTTTTGTTTGTTACATTGGTTGGTAAAGTCTCCTGTAATTAAAATTAACTCATTTGGGTTTTTAGTTGTTAAAATGGTTTATGTACCACCTCTTCCCAAGAGACTGCGTGGTTTACACCCAGAGGTGGGTTCCTACCAGTTCGCACCAGTTCGGTAGAACCAGTTTGTCAAATCTACTGAACCGGTTAGAAGAGGTTCCACCAGTGGACCCGGAAAGCAGGCCACACCTACAGAAGAGGTTCCAAAAATTTTTGAAACCCACCACTGACACACACACACACACACACACACACACACACACACACACACACACACAGACTCACACAGAGAGAGAAAGAGAAAGAGAAAGAAAGGAAGAAAGAAAGAAATAAAAAAAGAAAAAAGAAAGAAAAAGTAAGAGGGAGATGGGGAAAAGGGACA